TTTCACTGATGCCAGTAATCTGGTTATTTCATCACTAAATGTTTGGTGAGAAAAAGTTCAATAAACTGCACAAAGTTTATCATGTTCAACAGATAAAGTTTTCATTCTAACTACAGAGTTACTCCTAATTGTCCAAAACTTGAGATTCAAAATGGTAAGCTTCAATGCTAATCAATTTCAATCAGTTTTGCGAAGTTTGAAACAAACTGTTTACTCAAATGAAAATACCAAAATACCATATTTTAATAACCTGTCTTAACAGTGAATGTGTCATTTCTACCAGTATCTTATGATCCCTACTATATTATCACACATTGTCACAATGTTGTAAGATTAATTTCAAAACCTTTTATCTGACAATCCCCCGTTTGACCAGAAAATACACCACAATGTAAAGAGAACTATCTGTAAAACAATTGCAAAAGGCCTATTTTATACGCGAGTCCAAAATAACGGGTCTTATCACCTGCACGTGTTCCTGCAGGATGGTAATAATCAATAACGGAGAGTTACGCAGTATATAAGCTTGGATCATGCAAGAAACCACAAACCTACCATGCAGAGACGAAAACTTAGAAAAGAGATGGGAATGATTTTTCTATTGCTGTTAATCTGCTCTCTCTCCACAGCAGAGATAGAAACAAAGTCTGACAACAAAACAAATTCACATGTAAGACAAACTGAATCACAGGACAGAGACACAGAAAGCCTTTCAAACCCACCAGAAACATGTACCCAGGACATCAATGGTGTGCTGAGAGAGATGACCGGTTCACTGGCTGGACTGAAGGTGCAGGTGGGATACTTAGAGAGAGACAACGAAGGTATGTTCATAAAAAAGATGCATCACATAAGTAATTAATGCTAAGAATTACTCATGGGGAGATCATTGCTTTGCAATCTTTTCTTTTATATCCACACAAACAGCTAATGGTGCTGATGAAACAGCAGGATTTGATGATAAAACATTTGTAAAGGTTGCAGTTTGGATAGAAAAGGAATACAGCAAGTTAACCAGAAACCTTTGTGTCATTTTTGTACTGAAGTAACACAACCAACAAAACAAAGATGTCTTCTTATGTCATGGTAGTTTATTTATACAGCACAGCACTAAATTAAAGCAACCATTTTAATGTAAATAAAATTTACTTGTGAGATGCATTGACTCCAGGCCAATTCACCTTTGTCTCAAATCATAGCTACTGTCTTTTGAACATTTCTCACCTGTCTCTAACTGTTGCATAGTGGCTTATGTCTTGTGACAGCATTTTAACTAATTATAAAGACAATGAAAAAGCTCAACTTTCACTCAAAATTTAAGTTATAAAGCTGAAGAGAATATCAGGTAAAATCACCTAAACTGGAAAAATATGTAATGGGAAAAGAGTTAAATGTTTTCTTACCAATGCTATATGCTGTGTTAAATTATTTTACTGACAGTGTTTTTGACGGCGTACATTTTTGTTTTGTTTTTTCCTTTTTTACACCAACAGCTAAGGCCAGAGAACTGGAGTTGCTAAAGAATGAGTTGGATATGATTAAGCAACAGTTTCAAGGTATCCATTACATGAAAAATGAAATAACATATTAAATGTGTATTTACAATCTAATGAGGTCACATATTTGTCAGTGTAGTTTGTGTAATTTGTGGATTTGTTCATTTAAGATGTAAAGGTGAACATATAGATATCAGCTAGTAGTGTGTGTTAAAGTCTTCTTAAAATACTAATCCTAAATTACTCATGCAAATAATAAAATGAAGACCATGTTTTCTTTGACTCCTCTTTTTATTTATTTTACATAATCTCCAGCACAGGTAGAAGAGGTGACCACAGTCAAAGCCATGGCAAACAACACTGAACACCAAGTGGAGGTTCTGTGGACAGAAGGAAAAGTTAAGTTAATTAATAATTGGCCTCACAATTGGAAAGAACCCATAATATTGTGCATGTTCTCATGTTGCAGCTGCAGCCAGCTATGCTATAGACTGGCCATGTGAAAAGTGTTTTTACATGTTTTACAGTGAGCGAGAGAGTGTTAACGCTTAAAACTGATTTATATTGTGATAATTTTACCTTTTCAGATAAAATGACTTATTTTCACATTACCTTTTTCACATGATAAGTTGAACTTAATAAAACTGGAACTGCAAGAAGGTGGATCAGAATATTTATCTATTTACTAGCTTGAAGAAGTTAAGAAATAAAAACGATTTTGGCCTTGCTGCTGGAAGCAATGAGAGAGAGAATGAAAAAGAGAGAGGAGAGAGAGAGTCTATGTCCTAGTAACAAAGCCGTAAAAACAGTCTTTTATCCTTTAAAGTAACTAAATGATGTGACCCTATTCTTATAATCCTACCTAGACAGATAGAGATCCTATCACTATTCTCATTTGAGGGGAGAAAAGCTCACATGCATACACTTTTGAGAATCAAAGATGTGGCATCTAAAACTGATGGTAACTAGAGTTTCTGTCTTCCAGTGAAACGAGTGGCTTTCTCAACCTCTTTGTCAGCCAAGGGTACAGGAGACATTGGACCATTTAACACCCATGTGATTCTGGTCTTCAGAAATGTATTTGTCAATATTGGAAATGCCTACAACCCAGATACAGGTATTGAAATATATATTTCTACTTTAAAAAATGACAAGAGACATTGATGTTTGAAGTATAAAATTAAATATTATTCCTCAGGGCATTTCATCGCACCTGTGAGAGGAGCCTATCACTTTGAGATCCATATATATGGGCATGGACATCCTTCTCGTCCTTCATCTGCAGCGCTGATTAAGAATGGAGAACATGTCGTTATAGCATATGAATATCAAAGTAGCGGTTCGGCTGACTCTGCCAATGGTGTCACATTGCTGTTAGAGATCGGAGATGATGTGTTTGTGCGTCAGTGGCCTAACTCATGGATTTATGATGGTCCCTTGCAGCCCACCACCTTCAGTGGCCATCTGCTTTTCACCATGTGAGGATTTAATAGTCCTACTTAAAAAAAAAAAGTACTTTCAGTAAAACAAATATCAGCTTCTGTATCTTGAAATACATATTCAAGCACCTCAAGCTCAGTCACAATTTGTTTATTATTTGGCTGAGGTTGCAGGATTTAATTAAAAGAAATACTGGGAACAATTCCTTCAAATTTTTACACATATTCATATATTATCCTGCTTCAAAGAGATGGTTGAATAGACGACCAAACAGAAGTTCAGTTTTCTGCATCGCAAAAACAAGGGAGTGGCAGTGTCTCAGAAATCACAGTACGTGGCTCTGACTGGCTATGAAACTGAGGATATACTTTCAAGAGTAAAAACTACATTTATATTCACCTTGAAAAAAAAAACAGGCTTAAGAATTATATTTTATCAAATGTTAGAATTGGAATAGATTACTCATCTGTTATAAACAGCCAATATTGTTTTTCTAAAACAAAATGGATGTCTTAAGGTCTGGGATAGGATGCTTCTTTTCGAAGAAGAATCCATTACCGTGATCTTTCAGCCTCTTATCTTATCTGAAGCAGTCTCGAGAAGCTTTGATGGCTTTTTAAAGTTAGAAACTGTCTGTGAAAGATAATTCTTTAAATACCCCGACTTGCCCTTAGTAGCCACATTATTATTGACATTTTAGCATTTGAATATTGTGCAGATCAGCTAGCACAAATAAAGAAAAAACAAACTGTTGGTCAATTTATTGGCCTTTCTAATTATCTTCTTTATTTCTTGATGAATACACTGTTCTATTCAAATAAATACATTTAATTTTAATGGTGCATTTGATGTCCAATTCTTCCATAAAGTCAGTTCAAATAGTAAATCGTTTTGCACATGTTGGTTCATCAATAAACTCTCTTTTTCTTTGTGACAGGTGGTATATGATGAAGCAGTCAAAATACATGCCTGAAGTAGTGAAATAATCCCTCAAAATTTGACTGTGTCTTTGAAAAGTCCTAAGGACACCCTAAAAAACAGATTGTTGATATATTATTCAGAAAGATGAATACAGGATGGATTCGTTTCATCAATTCATTTCTTTTTTTACACTTATGAGGTTATAATTGAATCATTTTAGAACATGGCATTTAGCTTCAAACATTTGATTGAAGGTCCAAAAACTGTCTTGTTTTACACAAAAAGCATACAATCATGATAATATGGACAAAACAACCTCATACATCTGGGGGTTCTCGTTGTGTGTCCATTTTTCAAAACCAACCTTGTTGAATTACAAATTATGTTCTCTTAATATCATTTTAAGTACCATATTTTCCATACTATAGAGCACACGATACCATAAAATGCAGCTACAATTAAAAAAAAAAAAAAAAAAAAACAAGAAAAATAAAGTAATAAACACGCGAAGCAGATTACAACTTCGCACTACTCT